CAGGTCATGGGCAGGGCCGGCACTGGCATGGACAACGTGCATCTGGAGTCCACCTCGAGGAAGGGCATCCTGGCCATGAACACTCCCAATGGGAACAGACTTAGTGCTGCCGAGCTCACCTGTGGGATGATCATGTGTCTGGTCAGGCAGATTCCCCAGGCTATGGCTTCAATGAAGGATAGCAAATGGGAGGAGCTTTTGACTCTGGCATAGAAACCAACCAATCAGAATCAAATTGGCTGGCAGAGGAGGGCAGTTGAGGGCAACTATGCTGTCAGGGGAGGGCAGTTAGGGGCAATCAGAAGGCAGACACAGGCAGTTAGGGGCAATCAGGCAGGCGGGAAGGTGAGCGATTAGGAGCCAGCTGTCCCAGATTGTGAGAGGGATGTCTGACTGCCAGTTTAGGCCCGATCCCATAGGTACATCCCCCAAGGGATCCCTGATTAGAGAGGGTGCAAGCTGGACTGAGGGAACCCCTATCCCATGCACAAATTTTGTGCCCCAGGCCACTAGTTTTATTTAAATAAAAAGCTCCAGTTCTTTAAAAGATACTAAGAAAAAAGAAAATGCAAACTACAGACCAGGAGAAAGTATTTGCAAAATATGTCTGATAAATGATTTTTATCCACAATGTATTAAAAATAACTCTTGCAACTCAATAATAAGAACACAACAACTGATTTTTTTTAAATGGACAAAAGATGTGAATAAACAGTTCACCAAAGAAAATATACAAATGGCCAAAAAGCATGAAACAATGGCCAATGCCATTAATCACTAAAGAAAACCAAATTTAAAAAACAAGTTATGTACTAGAATAACTAAAATTTCCAAACTAAACATATGAAAATATCATGTGTTGACAAAGATGTGAAGCAACTCTCAAATTGTTGATGGCACTGCAAATGGCCCCACTATTAATATTTTGTAAAACAATTTGGCAGTTTCTGATAAAGTTAAACATTCTTATTCTAATGACACACTTTTACTCAGTTATATTGCTAGGTATTTATCCAAGAGATGAAAATGTAGTCCATGTACAAAAAACTGTATTCAAATATTTATAGAAGCTTTATTCATACGGCCAATAATTGAAAACAACATAAATGCCCATTAACTGGTGAATAGATGAACAAATTATGGCATATCAGTGAAATTGGGTACTACTCAGTAATAAAAGGATTGTACATATAACAACTTGAATGGATTTCAGAAATACTGTGTATATGAAAGTGGATGCCAGCAGCTGGAGTTGGAGGGAGGGAAATAACTATAAAAGGGGCACAGGCTGATTTGAGGGGAAAGTGATGGAAATTATTAATATTTTGTGGTGATGGTTATGTGATTACTTACATTTACCAAAAATTATTGAACTAGCAGTAACCGGCTTGGCTCAGTGGATAGAGCTTCTGCCTGCATACTGAAGTGTCCCAGATTCGATTCTAGTCAAGAGCATGCAAGTACCTTGGTTGTAGGTACATCCCCAGTAGGGGGTGTTCAGGAGGCAGCTGGTCGAAGTTTCTCTCTCATCCATATTTCTCACTTTCTATCCCTCTCCCTTCCTCTCTGTAAAAAACAAAAAAATATATATATTTAAAAATTATAGAACTGTTGCCCAGCCAGTGTGTCTTTCCATGCACCAGGAAGTCATAGGTTCTATTGCCGGTAGGGCACATGTCCAGGTTGCAGGTTCAGTCCCTGGTCAGGGTTCATATGCGAGATATTTCTCTCTCACTCTCTCTTCCTTTCTCTCTAAAATCAATAAAAACTTATTTTTTTTAAAAAGCTGTATGTATTCCTGTTTTGTTTATGCTCTGTTAGAGAGAGCATAGCATACAAAACTGATATTAGGAGTTGTCTTTAGCATAGGAAAGGCTTAACCTTTTAATGTATATCTATTTGTTTTGCTTGACTATTTTTTTTAACCAGGTGCATATATTACCTTCTCAATCAAAGGAAAAAGTTTTAACTTGCACACATTAAATGTATTATCAGGAAATGTAGCAATACATAGATGATTGCACTTCTATTTCCTCCATATGGTTCCTCTAGTTTTTGTCAGCACAATAGTGGGTCTTGAGAGTGACCCGGTGTGATGGTCCTAGGGCCACCTGCCTCTGTAAACACTGTTTTCAGTCTGTGTCTCTTGTTTTTCTAAATCATGTGGGAGTGGGTCAAGGAAGAAATCCACTCATTTTGCTTTGCCCACATGATGCCTTTTTTGTTCGTTGCACTGCTCCTCTGGCTTAGGGAAGTTTTACTAAGCCTTGTAATTGTCAAGAGACATGGTGGGGAGACAAGTCCTGAGTTCTGAAGAAAATTTTGCATCTTATCTCTGCCTCTTGTTCAGAGGCTACCAGGAAGCTTCTGTGAGTGAGTGGAGCCTTGCTAGGGAGGTGTGGAAATCGGAGGCGCTTTCTGAAAATGAGCTAGCTTGGGAGGCTGTCTTCAATTTAGTTGGGATATTAAATGAATTAAAATGGACGTGCTCAAGTTATGAGACTTGCCTCATCAGTGCTATAAAAAGCCCTTTAGCCGGGCTGTAATGTGACTCCTCTCTCTGTAATGTTACACAATATTCCTTTGGTTACAGAGCCCGAAGAAGTGGAAGCTAATCATTAGTTTGCTAAATGTGGTTCATGGAACAGTTCACAGCTTCCAGACCTGCCAACTGCTGCTTGTTTAGTGTCATGTTCACTTTTCTAGGGTAAAAGTCGGCTTGTTCCTCAGAAAAATGTACAGTAACATTTGTCTCACAACCAGAACCCATGTGTCTTGGTCACGGGGAGGGTAAAAGGTCATGCTAAGCAAAGTGTTTTGGTACATACACTTACGCAGGAAGAAACCATGAAGGGAATGTGAGATGACAGAGCAAGGAAAGAATTAAAGCTGCAGAGGTTTTACTTGGAGAAAAGTGAACATGTTGGCTGTAGTAGAACTCTATGGAGTACCCGTTGTATAGGGCCTAGAGATGAAATCATACCCTTTGGGTTCTTCCTTCCTGTGACAGGATAGACTTCATTATTGCTCGGTCACCTACAACACATAGAAGTGCTGCCTTTAGGAGCCATAAGGCTGGATTTGTGCTTTCACCTGAGGATTAGCCTGAATCCTTAAGCCACTCCTGACTGTTTGGCCTCCTCCTACTAGGACGAAGGCAGGTTCTTTCCCGGTGCCCACTTAAGACTCATTCCCCTTTCTAGCTGGAAGCCTCTTTGGCCCTTTCTTCTTAGAGACATCCAGAAAGAGACAATCCAGTGGCTGTCTCTATTTGCCTACTGTGTCGTTTAGGTCTCTTTGGATTATAAAACAAAAACAGAACACCTGATCTCAACTGGCTTCAGGAAACAAGGCATTTATTGGCTCCAATGATTAAAAAGCATGGGGAGATAACAAGGGCTCAAACCATGTCATTCACTTTTTCTGCTTCTCTCATCACTGGTTTTGTCATTTCTACTCACTCTCAAGCTTCAAGTATTGGTATTTCGAGCAATTACAAATTCTTCCAGGTGCAAGCCCAGCAGGAAATATAGCAGATATCCTTTCTGCTAGCTCCTAAAAAAAACCTGACATTCACTCTCACTCAACTGAACCAGTCCTGAGATCCTTAAAGATGCTACACTTGATTGGTCTGTTCTGAATCTCAGTCCCCACTCCAGGAAGGGTGGAGCCTCACCTGAGCAGGTGGAGTAGTTGTGAGAAAAGGGTAGCATTCCAACTGAAAGTGGTGCTGAAAGGAAAAGGAAAAGGAATGGGAGCTGTAGGCAGATCTCTAGGCTTTAGTATGAGGAAGCTGTATCCTCCCTATGATGTGTTGAAAATCTCCACTTCAACTTCCTGGGTAGCGGGAAGATGGGGTTTCCTGGTTTGTGGAGCAGGTCATATTTCCCAACCTCTGCTTCTTCTTCTCACCTGCCTGTATGCAGCTCAGGAAGACTACATGAATTTTTTAAAAATTTTTTATTATTTTTTAATCAGAGAGGAAGGAAGAGGGAGATAGATAGAAACATCAATGATGAGAGAATCATTGATTGGCTCCCTCCTGCAGGTCCCCCACTGGGGATTGAGCCTGCAACCTGGGCATGTGCCCTTGACCAGAATTGAACCCAGGACCTTTCAGTCCTCAGGCCAATGTTCTATCCACTGAGCCAAACTGGCTAGGGCAAGAATTATCTTTTTAAAAATAGTACACACTTATTTAAAATACACCTATTTGTTTAAAAGTCCATGCAAAAGGACAAAATACATGTACAGGAACCAATACAATTATGGTTGCTCTCATTGCATTTCTTGACTTAAGGCAAATTTTTAAAAAATATATAAAAGTAATGGAATCAAGAGATAGTTTAGAAAAAATAAAAATCATAATTCTACCACTCAGGCCAACCACTATTTTAATTTCAGAGCATTTCCATTCAGCTTTTGTTCATATGAACTTCTCGCAAACTTAAATTGTGATATTTTTGCGACATATTTTTTTATTGCCTGGTAATCCAATCATTTTTCATATTGCTTGGGAGCCATCATTATCATGCAAAAGCAACATAATATTTCATTAAGTAGATCTACTATAATTGACTTAATCATTTTTCTATTATTGGACATTTAGGTGTGTTAAACATTTTGAGGGTATTCTGTAACTTTTCTCATGCCTTATCTTATTTTCTAAGAATAGATTATGTGAAGTGGGATTACCACTTTAATTAATACCAACTTTTAAAAATAATTCTTGCTAACTATTGCCAAATTAATTTTCAAATGCTGCATTAATTTCTACTGCCTTCAGCAGGTTATGAGAAGACCAGTTTCACGGCATTCTTGCCTGCAATAGACATTTGGATTTTTAAACATTTTCCTAATTTAATTGGCAAAAAAGTAGATGTCATTTTGTTTTAACTTGGATTTCTTTGGTTAGTACTGAGGCCGAATGTCTTTATGTGTGCCTGTTTCTTTGTTGTACTTTCTGCTCTGCTTTACACGTTGTCTTTTCTTTGTTTTAGACCCCAAAACAGCTTCTGAAACAGAAACGGATATCTGTGCGGAATGGGAGATCAAGACCATCACTAGTGCTTTGAAGACCTACCTAAGGTAGGGACTTTCCATTTGTAGGGCAGGGTGCCAGCTTGTTATCAGGCCTTCAGGAAGAAAGCAGTTTTATTTTCAGCCTCCGGAGAGCTGTTGGGTGGGTGTTTGAGATGTGAAAACAGCTTAGGTGTGGGTGTAGTCAGTTCAGCTGGTCACTCCGATTGTAAATCATCCATAGTTGATGGGTTGCCATTGTGCAATGGTACCACGAATGATTTAGGAAGCTTTGTTTTTTTATGAAAAACGACTATGACAATTAGCCTTTAAGAACCTAAAATATGATATTTCCTGAAATCCCTGAAGACTCTATTAAGAACACAAGGAGTCCCATCCTATTCTATTGCGAATGCATGATTACATGCCCTCTGTATTTTGATAGATTTGTGCATTGCGCATTGAATAACTTGATGACATCGATCTTTAAAAATGAGAACTTAATGGTACTCCTTTTTAACTCCTTCAGCTGGTATTGGAAGATATCACTTTATTGGGGAAGAGACTATTTTCCTGTAATATATGTGGTGTTATTGCTACCTTCCTACTCCTCCCTCACTTATTAAGGGAGTGGGTGACTGACTAGTTGCCCAAATCTCAATTTCAGGACTAGATTGAAATTTATGCTGCTCTTTAAGGGTAGGCATATTCTAGTTAATCACTGTAATACTTACATAGGAAGGTGGGGGGAGGGGGGGAGGGAGGGAGGTGTCCAGGTTATATAAAGGTGCCCTTGTCTCAAAAGCAAAAGAGGATAGGAACTGGTATTTTTGGCTATTGAGGAATGGATAGAAGGATCCTGATGTCAAGAATAAAATGTAATGCAAGTGATGACTAATAGTTGAATTAGGAGATGCAATGAGAATAAAATAAAATCTGAGCCAAGAATAATGTATAGTCTGTTGAGAAGCTTATTATTTGGACTATTAGAAAAAACTTCAAGTTTACAGTTTAACATAGTCATTAAATATTCATACCCTCAATACTGCCATTGTAGTTTATACAAAACTATTGTGTAGAGGTTTGCATTTAGCACTTCTTTTTACATGTTGATAGTGATTTATTAATGGACAGTAAGCATAAAACGTATTTTCAAAAAATAGGTAAAATTTGATTGTTTCATACCTCATGTTAAGGGTTCTATCTCTTTGGCATTCTCTAGCAGAACTCCACAGTGAATTTGCCACAAAAATACCTACAAAGTCCCTCATAGTATTTACAGATGAGCTGATTGTAATAACAAGGTGCTGGGGAGATGAGAGTTTAAGTACAGGTTTTTGCAAATGTTTAGCCAGTTGCCTGTTTCTCAAGCATGTTTTAAAATGCTTTTGTTGATGGGTGAGTCACTGACTGAAAAGGAAATCTCTTGGTTTGTGCTAGGATTTTGCACCAGTACTTTTCTAGTTGTGTCTATGAGACAGTTGTATCCTTTCCATAAAAAGGAAAGAGAATGAAGATTTCAGGTAAAATCTCAGGACCTTTTAGAAGGGAAACTAAATTAGACTCAGATGAGTTGCTGTTGCTTCCCCATAATCTTTGTCTTTGAGAACAGTTTGGCAGTGTTCTGGCTGCTAGAGAGAACAATTTGATTGTTTTGATTGAACTAACTAATATATAACCTTTTATTCCAGAATGCTTCCAGGGCCACTCATGATGTACCAGTTTCAAAGAAGTTTCATCAAAGCAGCAAGTAAGTTTTCTTTTTGTCAGTTTTAAGGGGAAGAGAATATATTTTTCTACTTCAAAAACAGTCAGTATCTCAAAATAAATATTATCTAACTCTTTGTAGTCTGCATGTAAACTACCCACATACACGCTCATGAGTTCGACACAGAAATAAAAATGAAACCAAATCGGGATTGCTAAGGGCCTTGATGCTATGCTGAATTTACAGTAGAGGAGAGAAACTTCCAAAGTGTATTTTTAGGGTTGGGGAAAGTTGAGAAAAGCAGGTTTGCCTTTCTAATTTTGATGATTGGAGTTCTGACTCCTTGGGTTTTTCCCAGCCCTTGAGAAGCATTTTGCAAAATGGATCATACTTCGCACCTTACCTACTTTGAACCTTGGAAGTGTTTCCCTGAATGAGAGACACCATTGTTATAACTCTCCAATCTGCTTTCTGTCATGGCTCCTATTGACAGCTTCTTTAGCCATATCATCCAGGTTCCTGGCATCATACTACTGGTATTAAAATACATAGGGATTAGATGCAAGCTATCCTAGGTACACTGGAATCTCTCTATGTGAGGCAGGCCTCCATAGGGGCAGGAAGATTCTCTGTTAGATTTAAATCTGGCATGAAACCCCATAATGCTATTACAACAATAGCCCCTGTCTCTCCCTGCTTCCTTTAAGCTGTCACTGTTTGTTACCATGGTAGCTACTACTGGCCTAATTTATTGGTAGTAGCATCTAATGTTTTGATCGCCTTATCTAGTCATACATTCCCCCCCTCAAACATGGAGGGAAGAAGGCAGGGGAGAAAGCTAGAAGTAAAGATAGTGTTTATGTGATTTCTTTCTTAGAGAAGTTCCAGACCCATAGAACCCATTCTCTAGTTAAACCTCCCAGGGAAGTGGAGCCCCTTATTCAAGTTCAACCAAGAGAACTTAGACGGCCATGATTTAGGTTACAGGTTGGCAGGAAAATTCACATATTGATGTGCCATTTCTTTCTTCTGTACCAGGCTGGCTGTCACACATGGTGCTGGGATAACTGGATATTTCCTTTGATTTCTCTGATGCTACATTGAGGTGTTATTTTGATATTTGAGACATTTGCAATATTGTTCATGATTTGTTTACCACTTGCCAAGTGCATAAAGTTCCTTCTTTCCTTGAAATGAAGCCAACACTCTAAGAAGTCAGCTGCTCCCCAGTTTGTTCCTGCTCAGAGTATTCAGCTGACTGGCTCCATTTCATCACGTCATCATTTTGGCTTGATTTTTCTGATGGCCATTTTTTAAATGAACTCTGTTACAGAAAACACCATTAAAAACACGTATAGATATAGTCATTCTAGCCATGAGGGCACAGAACAGGATCTTAATCTTTTAAGAAATCCTCAGTCTGTCAGTACCCAACCTTTGTCTTCCTTTGATTTTTATCTTGTAAACTGATTTAGTTCTGACACTGATCAAATGTTTCCTCCTTCCTACTTTTGTAGAGCTGGAGAATCAGGAGTCTCGGGTGTCTGAAATCCACAGCCTTGTTCATCGGCTCCCAGAGAAAAACCGCCAGATGTTACAGCTGCTCATGAACCACTTGGCAAAGTAGGTTTGAGGCTGATTATTGGTTCTTTTCTCACCTCTAGAAAGTTCTTATCTTAGCCCTAAAACTGGTCTCAGTTCTGCTTATGTTTGCCTCTTCCACTATTGCATCAGGTATGCTAGAGGCTTAGGAAAGAAATGTGTGAAATGTTAACTGCAGTGGATAACAACAGCAAGTGCCAGATGGTCTTTGCAAAAGTAGACTGGGGCAGGGCCCCATGCAACCTGACCTCCAGACAGAGTTTTCAGGGGGTTTTAACTCTTGTGATGGCTAAGGGCATCTTCCGTGATAAGCTCACCAAGCAGAGTTTTCAGGAGTTACATGTTCTTTGACTATCAAGGATGAACAGGAATATGTTATGGGTTTATAGACCTTGGGTTTGAAGTAAAGAGGCCTGGAAGGTAGAGTTGATTCTGTTTTTAACAAGCTACTAACCAGCCCTAGACCTACCAGTGACCTCTCTATTCCTAATTTCTTCATCTGTCAAATATAGCTGGTAGGTTCCCTTTTATCTACAATGTTATTGATTTTTAAAATTACATGTATTAAAGTCTTGGAAGAAGTACAGATAATAAAGGACTTATCTTTGGCAAATGCCCATTTGCCCTCTGAGATAATCAAAGAATTCCATAGGGTCTTGGTTTTCCTGGTAGGAATATTTTTACTCTTGGAATGGTTATTTTGTGTTTACTATTACTTGACTCTTCAGAATGGCCTTACTGCCTTCCCTTGTTTTTATTTTTAAAATTTTTTTAAATTTTTTAAAATCTTTATTGTTCATATTACAGATGTTCCTCTTTCTCTCCCCGCCCCCCCCCCCCATTGCTCCCCTCCACCAGGTTCCCTGTCTTCCCTTGTTGTGTCAGTTGTTGCACATGTATATGTTCTAACCATCCATTGACTTTGATGAATGTTCTTGATAGGAGATTGGAGCATAAGAAAAGACAGAGTCTAACAGTTAAGCTAAATTGTTAAATCCTACATTCTACTGAACTGAGTGTTGTAAATTGGGCCCTTTCCTACTCTTGTTCATGCCATTAAGTCATTTTTAGGGAAGGGGGTGTAAGTTGATACTTTGCTGGGGGAGATTATGATGATCTGTTTTCATATTTATACCTAACAGTTGATATTACCTTTTGGAGAGAAAGTATATGTTACCAAAAAATTTCCACAGGTCTAAGTATGAAGAAACAAGAGTGAGAAGTTACTGGGCAATCAAGGGTTGCTCTATTACTGGTCAAATGTTTTTCTTGCCATGCAATCTGAACTGCATTGCAATATTGTGGTTTATAAGAAATATATATTTGGCCATTAATACAACCAGAATATATTTCTGATAGTAATATATTTAGTCTCAATGCACAACTCCTGGCTCACAGCTTTCTGAAGCCTTGTGTAAAGAAGACTAAAATACCAAGAGGATTGGGTTCGGAGAACTTGCAGGTTGTGAGCTTGTGGAGATGCTGGGAGAGTGGGGCCCTAGGGAGGGCATGGAAGCTCTGCACTCCTTCCCCCTTATACCTTGCTGCATGCATCTCTTCCATCTGGCTGCTCCTGAGTTACACCCTTTTAAAATAAACCAGTGATCCAGTAACATGTATCTCCGGGTTCTGTGAGCTTTTCTAGCAAAGTAATAGAACCCAAAGAAGCTGTTATGGGAACTTCTGATATATGTATGTGAGTTAAAAGTAGAGGTGAAAACCTGGATTTGGGATTGGCATTCTGAGTTGAAGGGGGTCGTTGGAACCTCCAATCAGTTCCTGGTCATTCAAAAGCACAGGTAAACTGGGTTTGTGTCCTGGCATTGTGTCCAGCGTCTGAATGCATGTGTGCGTGTGTGCGTGCGTGTGTGTGTGTGTGTGTGTGTGTGTGTGTGTGTGTGTTGGGGTGAGGGGCAGGTCTTATGGAATCTGATGCTATCTGCATGTAAACAGTGTTAGAATTGAGTTGAATTCTTGAGTACCTTGCTGGCAGGGTGGGTCTGGGAACCCAATTTATCCATGTTCAGAAACAAAGCAAAGCAGAGAACATGCAAGTTTGCAAGGAGAATGCCCCCAAAATGTCAAAGAAAATAATGGGAGCTGGGCTTTAACAAGTAACATCAGATGCTGAGATGCCTGTTCCATATAACCGGTCAGGTATTTGTTAACGGAAAAGCCCATTTAGATCTTAAGTCCTGCACCCAAACAAAGGAAGTTCCAGGTATATACTCAGTCAACCATGTGTAGGATGCTAGAATCAGCTGAAGATTAGGAACTAGCTGAAAGCAATGGGATTTCTAAGCTGTGCCGATGTGATGAGATCTTAATTACATTGAGAGAGACCAAGAGTAAGGGATGATCCAGCAGAGCCAGTACTGAATTTTCCCATGTTTAAAATGCCCTGAGGATTGTTAGGAATCTTTAAAGAAAAAGAGAGCACCCTAAGGTCAGTTTTGAAGAGTTGAGCCTGTTCATCTCCTGTTGGATGGTTCACTATCTCCCTCATGCTCCACTCTCTGCTCTCCCAACACCATTCAATTCAGTCCATCTTTGTCCCTAATCCAGGATTCCTACACCTGAACTATGCAGGTTACCTCTGCAATCTTGACTTTTTACCTTCTAAGGAATTTAAACCAATTTTGTTGTTAGCATTATTTTATAGCAATTCTGGAGCATTATTTGTTGTCTTTGATACTTAACAGAATTTCTCTGAGGTTCTTTCTATGAGGTTATATGGCATTGCTTTGTTAATTTAACCATTGACAAGTTACCTATAGGTAAGCTCTCCTGCCTATAACTTGAGTCTCTCAGTGCTGACCTTAGAACACACAGACACAGATTCTTGGAGTGCTGTGTGCTTTGCCTCTGGAGCACCCAGGTTTGAAATGTCTTGGTGTAAATGAGCACTGCTGGATCCAGTAAAGAGTGTGTATTTAGGTCTGAAAAGATTTTTTGGCACCCAGCCGAGTTCCAAATTCCACTTAAACTCTATAGCTCATTTACAGCACTGTCCTATTAAAATAAAGCAGTAAGGGAAAGTTAACTTGGGACAAGGGGTAGGTTTATCTATTTCATTCTAGTTTTCTCAGGTTCAGACTTACCCTAGGACAGTGGTCAGCAAACCCATTAGTCAACAGAGCCAAGTATCAACAGTACAATGATTGAAATTTCTTTTGAGAGCCAATTTTTTTAAACTTAAACTTCTTCTAATGCTATTTCTTCAAAATAGACTCGCCCAGGCTGTGGTATTTTGTGGAAGAGCCACACTCGAGGGGCCAAAGAGCCGCATGTGGCTCCTGAGCCGCAGTTTGCGGACTACGGCCCTAGGATATGCCTGAGCTATTGTTACAGTGGTCCACTTTCTTAATGTTCAGCTTCCTTCCTAAGTTTTTGGTTTCAGGGCTGGTTCTGCTGGAAAACCCAGTGTTTACTTCTCTCATTACCTACTGTGTTTGCCATGTGCATCAAAGGCTTTTGGTTCAAGGGGAATGTGTTTTGTATTGTATATTTTTTAAAGTGCTCTTCTGAAACATTTTCCAAAGTTGGTTTCCTTTATCTGTGAAGGGAGAGTTAAGACATTTTAGATTTAATTCCAAGTAGAAATGCATTCAGAAGGGAAAAAAGTCTTAAAGGGGGAGGAATAAAACTTTAAACTTCCAAGCAAATATGATTCCAGAGCATATCCAAATCACAGACCTCTTGGGTTTGTTTCAGACCTCAGAAAGAACGTTAAAAATCACAGGCAACTATGCACATATTTTTGTTTCTCCAGCTCAAATCTCCTGATAATTAGATATTTTCTATTTGGGTTCTGGAATCTAGTATACAGTCCAGAGTCACATGCCTCCAAGCACAGTTAGACTCACCTGGCCTGCTTCTTTGCATTAATGTTGCTGGGTCCCTCCCCTGGTTTGCTTAATCAGACTCTGCCTGGGATCTGCATTGTTGGTTTATTTCCCAGGCCTTTAGGATACAGTCTTTTGAGAACCACAAGCCTAAAGAATGGACCATGTGCAGGAATGGGATTTTCTAGGAGAGAAAAATGCTATTGAGAGGAATGGGTTGGGATTTAGGAGGCATTAGAACTAGTAAGAAGAAGCTCAAAGCAGTGAGTTCAAAAATATTTTCTTTTCATAATTAAACTCCTAAAAACACCCAGTTTTGATTTCCCATGTCTTTACAATCTGACTTTGCATTAAATTTAGTGTTTCTCAAATGACTGTTTTAAAATCAAGCATAAAACATTTTTATTAATAAAGAAAATTCTCCCCAACTAGCAGCAAGACCTTGTGGAGATCATTCAACCTCATTGAGCCTCAGTTTCCTGAGTTCCCTTTTAATCATATGATTCTTCGTTTTCATCAAGCGGGGAGAGAAAATACTTCCTGGTCCTATAATTGCAATAAGAGTAGATGAGTAATAAAGACTAATTTTATGGTAGTTCCCTGGTGTTTACATATCAGATGACTCCAAGTATGTTGTATATCCCCACACATACCGTTCACAGTGGCTCACCATAACTTTATTACAGTGTTTATGCTATGTGGGAGGATTTCAAAAGACTCTCCATATATTAGGAATGGCTGTTAAAAATACCTTTTTCACAGCTGGTTTCCCCCAAACACATATTGAGAAATAAATCTTAGTCTCTTTTCTATTTTGAAGCCACTGTTCTTTTGTTGCTATGGTGTTGCTGGAGAAGCAGAGCCTTTTTTTGTTTGTTTGTTGTTTTGTTTTTTGCTTGTCCAAAGAGGCTTTGGGCTCTAAGAAAAAGAAAATCCACTTCAAAATAATGTAAACAATGAGGATTTCTCTTGTCTTATTGCACAGAGTCAGTGCTGGGCTGGTTAATTTCTCTGTTCATGAAGTACTCAGGTTATTTGCATGGCCCTGCTTACAGCTAGCCCCCTTGTGTTGCTGTGTCTCCTCAGATGTTGCATTGCATCCTTCCATGTAAATGGTTGTCCAGAGACAGAAAAGACATTATTTCTTCTTTGAGTCTTTTTTTTAAGACCTATGAT